CTTCCTCCTACCTCTGTGCTAGTCTTCACTTCCTCCCCAACTCTCCAGAGAGCCCTTCACCAGTCCTAGGAATAGATAAGGCAGCCTGCAGATTAGCCGGACATTTTCATTCCAAGCATCTTGAGGGAGGCTAGGCTGGCACAAATGCCACCAATAAAAACCACATGACCTAAAAAGGTGAAAGAGTAGACACTAATTAAAATACTTAACACAAAAGCAAATTCCTGCCTGGTGGTGTGTTATCAGCAGCTGACAGGATTAGCCTGCTGCTTCCCCCTCAGATGGGTCTGAGCTCAAACCAATACACAGCCCTCCTGGCCTGTGAAGCCAAAAGAGAATGAACCGGAAGCCCGTGGCTTCCAAGGACAAAGCTCCCATTCAGTAGCTCCTCAGGTGGCCAGCTCCCAGACAGAATGACCATAACCAAGTGCCATGACCCCAGCTTCTCAACACACACACACACACGCACATGCACGCACACATTCATACTCACACATTCCCTCTCTTGCTTACATACATTCACACACATACTCTCTCTCACATATTCTCTCCCTCTCCAACGCCCTCTCCCGGTTCAACAAGAGCCTTGATGCCTGAATCCAAGCCACTGCCAGGCTTTCTAGCCCCAGTGGCCACTCCTCCAAAAATCCCAAGCCAGGCCTCTAGCTCCTGCACAGTGGGGAAGTTCAGGCCCATTGCCTCACGGAGACATTGAGGGCTGCCTCCCACCCATCACTCTCTCACCTCTGTTTCCCTCACAAGCTCCACTTCTACATCCTTTGTTCCTGTCTACTCGAAGATCTTGTAGAAAAGCCGCACCACTTGTTTTGGCTAAAAAGAAAAGGTTTTAACTTTTTGGTAGGAGTAGGGCTGCCAGAGTTAGTGAAAACAAAACAAACAAGCAAAAATAAAAGACAAACCAACAAAACGAAACAAAGCAAAACAAAACTAAAACAAAAAACAGGACACCCAGTCAAATTTAAATTTCATTTAGTCGACAAATAAATATTTTGTATAAGTATGTCCCATGCAACATTTGGGACGTACGCACACAAAAAAATTTTTTATTGTTTATCTGAAATTCGATTTAACTGGGTGCCCTGTATTTTAACTGGTAGCCCTATGTGGTTGGGAATAGGGTAAATAGGAGGTTTCCGGAAGAACAAACCATCTGGAAAAGAAAACACTAAAAGGAATTGTGAGGATTACAGGAGAGAGTAAGGACATGCTCTTTACTGATGGTCTCTTTTACACTAGAAGATTTCAAATGTGTTATCATTCAGTTTTCCAGTGATTCTATGCATTAGATATATTTATCTCCACTTACGGATGAAAAAACAGAGGGCCAGAGAATAAACTGACCTGCAAAGCATCACATGGGTAATTCGCGAAAGGCAGGACTATAATCCACGACTTCTGAGTACAGTCCGAGTACCATTTCTTCTACATATAGCTGCTTTGCTGCTTTATAATTTTTATAGGCTATACGAAAAGAGGGTCTAACGGTTTTCTTTACTCTTCCAATACATTCATAAGGAAACAAATTCAAAATGGCATCTTGAACCAACACAAATTTGTAAAAAACAGTTTTCTATTTATAGAGACCATTCTATTTACTGAGAAACCACTAGACCCTTCTCGCTTTTTGGTCACTTTTCCTAACTAAACACATCACCAGTGAGGACCTATTTGTGGTCTAGTTTCCTGACACAGAGGCAGAGAAAAAGTCAAGAAAGGAAGGGCAATGTTTCACCCAAGATGACAACTGCTCCACGATTTTCAGGATATTTGACCCAACAGAATCTTAACAGGGATCTGAGAGAAGAAAGTTCCTCTCTCACTATCCTAGCATCCCATGATCTATCATTTACCAGAAAACGCAATTGGATATGTGTACATTTTGGAGGAAAAAATTTGTAAAGAAAGCTATCTGTCAAATGGACAGCGGGAAATACTGTCTTCCCCACCCCCTTCCAAGCTTCTAACATTCATGGCACACAATAGAGGGGAAACAGCCATAAAAATGACTCAATATGTGCCCTTTTGAAGTACAGTAACTGTCAGATAAAAATAAAATAACACAGCTGAGGCGATCCAAATTTATTTCTGCTTAGTGAATTTCCAGATCCAAATGTGCTCGGTTAATTCATCCAAGTTTTGCTTTTGTGCTGTTTTGTTTTGTTTCTAAATTTTCCTTTCTTTTCATAGATGCTAGCAGATTCTACCTATGATTTAAAAAAAAAAAAAAAAAAAACCTTGCCCACCTCACACATTATCACTTAGGGAGAGTACATGGTTGTCAAAACTCCACTGCCAGTTCCTCAAAAAGCACTCGGGGAGCGATAGGTGCCTTCAGAGGTGGGCAGACGGCTGGGCAGACGGCTGGGCAGACGGCTGGGCAGGGCGTTCCCCACAAGCTGCGACGGCCAAGTCCAAGGAGACAGAGAAAGGAGCTGAGACCTATCTCCAGCTCGTGAGAAAGGCCTCGCTTTCTCTTTCCTTGCTTGGACACTGTTTACTCACTCCCTTTCCATTTCTCCCTTTCTTCCCCTACCCTCTCCCCACAAACACACACGCCCAGGCACAGGCTCCAAAGTGGCAGACAATTTAACACTTGGTCTTTTGGGTCCCAGGTGTGTGTCGTTTTCTTGTGGAAGATGGCAAGAAAAACGACACTCCGTTCTCCATCTGCCCCAGCCAGCACCAAACCATTCAAAGCTCCAGAATGAGACTGCAGTCATTTGCAGACTTAATTATTAGGGACCTTTAGAAACATTTCAGCTTGAGAAGAGTAAAAGAGGGGAAGGGAAAAGCATAGAAAGGAGTTTTCATTTCTGTTGATTCCGAGTGTGCAAGTCCTACAAACGAGTCATTTCTTGGACTCTACGGCAGTCCTGCAGTAGACATCTCATATTTCTCTTTGTATATAATGATAATTAAAGACTCTGAAGGTGACAAAACTCAATTTCATTTTGGATCTAAAATCTTTCAGAGATTGCTTTCGAGAAGGCAAGACTATTAAATTGATTTAAGTTTCACGGTTTGTAAAATCGTAGATCTACAGAACATAAATTCTGGCCGATTTAAATTAAGTGTGATCAGGTTTCCATTTATATTACATAAGAAGATTCCAAACCAGGGCTTGAAAGCATGGCTGCTCTAACTGCATTTAATAATTAGCCTGGTTTAAATGTCCCAGGGGCACTGGCCCCTATGGAGAACTGAGGAGCTCACCAGCAGACTAGCAGCTTCAGGACAGAAGAAGAAAGACAATGAGGAAATGGTGAAGGTCAGAAGAGCTGGGTGGGAGAGGGAGGTCTTGAAGCACACCTGCTCCCATTCTCAGATGACAGAGCCCGGGTCCCAAGCATGGTGGCTGAGCTGGGACTAACATATAGAACTTTGGACCCCTGGTTCTGTGCTCCTTCCATCACCTCCCTTTGTTAAATCAAGAACCCCAGACATAAGATACACCTTACATGAAGGTGAGAGAATGTGGCGGGGAGGCTGCTGTTGAGTTAAATGGGAGGCGTTTGCCCAAACCCTCTCCTGGTCACTCCCCATACGGGAGTAAGAGGTTCTACTTTGTGACTGTGGGGGATTATGTCCTGGGAAACAGACCACAAGGTCCAGGAGTTATCAGCTCATTCAGAGGCCTTGCAGGAATTTCCTGTTATGTGATCTGGGTCTTGCAAATAGCCACAATCAAGCTGAGGCTGTCACTTCTTCCCCTCCCTCTAAGGAGAAATGTGTGCTCTTGAGTCACTAGTTGCCTGTGCCCTGCAGCTCTCTGAAGACTGGGCCTGGCTCCAAGAATGTTCACAGGGAGCCAGCATGAGGGTCTGCACTGAGAACAAAGAGCAGGCCAGCCCAGGGGGCAGTGAAATATTAGTTCCAGGCAGTTGGCTCTGGGTCAGCTATGGCCCTGCCCAGGGGAGGAACAGTCGGCAACATGGAACTCTGGACCCAGCGCCATGGGCCTAGTTTTTAGCAAAAACCTGTAGGTGCTGCTGATTTTCCTTGCTTTTTTTTTTTTAAATTGTAAGACATATATTACACACAAAAGCGTGCAAGCAAACACGTGCACAGCCACACGGGTGGAAAACCAAAGCAACAGAGTACCCCAGACACAATCCCCACCCATGTCTCCTTCCCCGTCACTCCCCTACCCCCTCCAGAGGTAACTACCTCTGACTTTCGGGAATCATCATTTCCTTGGTTTTTTCTTATAATTTGTACCACTTGTGTATGTATCCCTAAGGATCACAGTCTAGTTTTGCCTATCAGTGCACATTGCTACCATTCGCTCACTTTGGTTTTTTATACCGTACTCAATGGGATGAATATATTTTATTTGTTGATTCTGCTATCTATGGACATTTAAGTTGTTTTCCGTTTTTGCCACTACAAACAATGCTGCAGTAAATATTCTTGGTCATGTCTCCCGGTTCTTGGGTGCTGCAGTTTCTCTATGACGCACACTTGACAATAAGATCACTGTCACACAGAACGCGCTTCCTCACCTCCACTAGGCAATGCCGATCTGCGTTCCAAAGTTGTATCGCCTTTCCCTCCCTCCAAGACACTAATAAAACCACCCTACTTATACAAAGGAGGGTCACTGGTGACTCAGAGGCCAAGAAATCCTAGTCTATGACTAGACTAGCAAGTTAAAACTATATCCTGATACCTCCTCTGTAAGACAAATGCCACGATTTTAAAATTCTGAGCTTAACTGAAATCCACAACCAAAACAGCTAAGCTTTTCACAAGAAAAATATCACAAATTCCCCAAAAGAATGAGATAACCTCTATGGCTTTGGAGCAAACCCACCTGCCCATATTATTAATTATAAGCAATACATAAAAATGTGTCCCTAAGATATTTAGTACAGAAAGACTGCACACCGATAAATTCTAGTTTGCCATGAGCAGCAGGAGAGAGCGGGTATGGGGTGGGGAGGGATCCTGGAGGCCACCTGGCTACAGCTGCCATGTACCTGTATACCGGCTGCATCTCTCTTGCAATGCCAATGATGGCGCCTGGCAGGAAATTGTCAAACTCCTCAAACAATTCCCGGATGTTGGTCTTGTACTTTAGGTCTAGGTCCAGCTGAATTATCCGTAGGATCTCTGGAGGAAAGAAAAAGACAATAATAAGACACAGACACACATCCTGGGAGGCTCAGCTATTTATAGAAAATGAAGTGGAAGGTGCAGAAAAGGATACTAGATTATTCTTGCCGTCACTGAAGATGCAAAGTTACCGAAGTAACAAAGGCACTTCATGTGTCAGCAACCCACTCTGCAAGACTAGAAGTCTCCATAAACAACTGTCCCTTATCTTTCTTTCCAATTGCAGACACATATTTTGTTTAAAAGCAGGTGACCATGTGCTCCAGTTTAGGCCTACTATCCTGGTATGATTGTCATCAGCACACCATTTTCATTCTCAAAAATATCTGACACGTTATGTGGACACCCTACTTAAAACTGAAAGCTTATAGGTGTTTCTCTTTGAAGCATAGGTAGTAAATGATCCACGGGAGAGAGGGGTAAAAACTGTTATCATTTTAGGCCCTTATTAGTACATTCTGCAAACCTAAATATGTGTCGAGGTAGACAAACTGAGTCTCACAATTGCCTAGCACATAAGAGCTGTTTGCCTCTGTGACTTCCAGGTCACTCAGGAGCAGGGCACTGGCCGAGCTCATTCTCTCATCCTTCCTTCACCCAGCCAAGCCTGACTGAGCTCCTGTGCTGTCGGTGCCACAGGGGGACCGACGCCAGGCTGACTGGGACCCTGCCTTCAAGGAGAGATGTGCAGGTGACTAAAAACAGAGTGAGGAATGAGTGCTGACATGAAATGGAAGAGGGGCTGTGAGAACTGCAAAGAGGGTCTGCTAGGGGTTAAAAGATGAAGGAGAGAGTACTCGGTACTAGGAGAAGGCCTGACAGGGAATCAGACCACATGAGTGCAAGTTCCAGTGTTGCTGCTGATTAATCCTGTGACCCTGGGAAAGTTAAATTTTACTTCTCTAAACCTGAGTCGTTTCATTTGTTAAAGTGGGATGGTATGATGCGCCTTGTGAGGCTGTGATGCTGAGAAGATGGAAGGACAGATGGGGAACGTCATCTGTACAGGCTGTAGAGGCTACAGGGATCTAAAGCTTGGAGAGTAGGGAACGCTCTGAGGCCTGAGGCAGTCAAGGAAAACCCAGTGGAAGACGGGGACATGGCCTGGACCTTGACGTGTGGACAGGCATGGAGAGGTGAAGTAACAACAACACCATCCCGGACAATGGGGTTCTCCCCTCTGCTCTTCAGCAGCCTTTCATGTCTGCCCACTGCAGAGCATGACGGCTGTCTGAGGACAGGCTGCCCCTGGAAGCCCTCTGAAGACAAGGACTCTATCTTTGGCATCTCAACCTCCATCCATTCATCATACAGGGCTTGGCATCCAGTAAACACTCAGGACTGTCTGTGGAATTCAAAAGCCATTCTCTAAGTTAGTTTATGAAGAAATCACAGCTTATGATTTAAGAAAAACTAATTCATTTGTTCCTTTTTCCATTTTCCTTCGTGATGAAAAGAAACACAACATTAATTGGCATCCTATAAGAGTTTTCTGGGGAAAAAAAAAGTTACAGTAGGTAACTATCTAGCTGCCCAGGCCAGAGGAACGTAAAAGGGCACCAGAATTGGCTTTTCTGGCCCTTGTGGGAAGAGGGTACAGGAAAATGGGCCTGCCAGGCCAATGTGGACCCTGCTGCCTGCCTGGCTTCACACTGTCCACCCCGACACGGAAATGTAAGTAAAAATGCTGTCTTTCCCTCCTGCACTAAAAACAACAATAGCGACAACTTAGAAACCAGGAAAGGTGATGACCCAGGAGCCCTTTGTGGTGACTTTGCTGTTTCCACGAAAGCTGCCCTAAACCAGAAGTGGAGACGGGAAACAGGCCGCAGTGCAGAGCCTGCAGGAGCCTGCTGCTCTCAGACGTGGCCCTGGAGAATAGAGGAAGGAACCTGATGGTGACTTTAAGGAAGAACAGTGTATCCCAGGAGAGAATGTCCAGGAATGAGAGTTGCAGCCATCGAGAAGTCATAATGGGGGCCCCACAGCACACACACCCCTCCAGACATTTCTCTTCCTGTCAGGTCATCTCCTGTGCCCCAAGCTCTCATGCATAGCTCTTATTCACATAAGGTAGAGACTTTGTAAGACAGAGACAGGCTAGCACCATCATCCAAAGTAGAGAAACCACGTCATCGCAGGTTCTGTTGATAAAAGGGGTATGTTGTGGGGCAGGGGGTGTTGAGGGAGGTAGACACAAGAGTGTTTGGCCTGGAGATGGAGAGAACTCAAGGATGTATGGTGGTAGTTTTGTGGCACTGTCAAGGTTATGAGGGAAGGGTAAATCTCATCCTCATGGCTCTAGGAAGTACTTGCAATAACGTCAGTGATGGCCACACAGAAACCACCTTTCTTTGAGTGGTTTTTGAGTGTCCAGCATTACACGGGCAATAATTTATTTCTCATAACCACTCAACATGTAGAGTTATTCTTATGTTTAAATGAAGAAACAGAGGCTTAAAACCATTGAAAACAATAGCCTAAGGCCCCCCAACAAATAAGTGTTGGAGCTGGAATCTGCTTGACGTGAAAGCCCAGCATGCTTTTTCCATAGACCCCGATTCCCCTTCTGATTAGAGAAGAGCTCCAAAAAGGCAGATTTTTGGCTCTAATGCTACCCATACAGAGACCCCAGGAGCACTCAGGAGTGCCAAAGACCTTGACAAAGAGCAGAGCAACAAGTTGGCCTAATATAGAATTTAAGGAAAGTCTTCTACATGAAAATGGTAATTTCACTATAAGAAACTCCTGACAGTAGAGAAGCCATTCATTCAATCAGTCATTCTTCCTTGAAACCACATGCTATGTGTACTCTCTGGTCTTTTGAGATCATTTAAATCCTACGTATTCTCCAAGAATGCCTTCTTCCCTGGCCTGCTTGGACAGGGCCTGGTCAGAAGTTATGGCTGCCTGCCTCAGGTCACTGCTACCTGTGTACCTATCTCACCATCCTTGACAGAGAGAGTGTTCCTTGAGAAAGAAAGGTGCTGGGAAGGCAGAGCTCAGGGATATCAGATGTCTCTTGAAGAGATCCAGCTCCTTCATTTAGGCCGAGCCCTGGCCTTGTCTTAATAAGCCCCCCAACAAATCTGACTGCTTTTTCTGCCCTTTAGGGGCTGGTGGGGAGTGAACTCAGCCCTCAGACACAGGAATTTGAAATGCTTTCATGTTTTTAATAGCTCCTTGTCTATAAAGCATCTCTTAGGAAAGGTTTGCTAAAAGTTGCTAATACTTTTTTTTAAAAGGAATTTCACCAAACCAAGGTTAACTGATTAGAAAGGAAAGAAACAGCAGCTCCAGCACAAAGTGACCCCTTCACACCAATGTGAAAAGACTGACCCAGTTGTCACCTTTCATGCTAAGGCAGGACACTCCCTTCTATTCAGGGAGGCTGACGGCCCCTAGCACAGCCTGCACTGTCATGCAGGCATCTATCCAGATTGTTATCCTTCTATGTAATTATGAAATGAGATGCCAAGTTGTAAATGTGACTGCTCAAAAGAGGAAGATGCTTACCAGGAATGCTGGAATTCACTGGGATAAGGTTTTTTTAAAGGGCCCTGTTCCTCTGGCCTCTGGTCCTTCATGTAAGTTATCCCTCTGTGGGAAGTACATCCGGGAATTTTATACGTAATGCTGAAAGGCAGTTCTGAGGTGGAAACAAGATCAATATAGGGAAGTGACAGCCATGTTGATGGCCCAGAGAGGATGCTGGTTGGAGGATAATTGTAATGACAGCAGTAGAACCACTGAAATTTAAGGAATAAGTGAATGAGATAATAGCCCCCAAAGCAGGGAGTAAGTAAAATCTATAAAGTATGAGGATGAATCTTTGAGAAAAAGGAGGACAAGAGAGCTAAAAATAAACAAACAAACACAAATAAACAAATAAATAGACAAATAAATAAATAAATATGTGAATAAATAAATAAATGAATGAATAAATAGATGATAGATAAATAAATCAATCAATTAATCAAGCAAGCAAGCAAGCAAGCAAGCAAGCATGCAAGCATCCAACGCTGGTTGAATGTTCACCGTGTCAGAATCCTACAAGAAGGCAACTAAAAGGTAGAGAACATAATAGTCTAGGATAGCAGATCTGAAAGAGAGTCTGATAGTAATTGAAGCCAATATACCCACTGTACAGATGGAGAAACTGAGGACTAAAGAGAGACTTGTCAGGAGTCACACAGTTGAGCTAAGTTGCAAAGCTGATCCCAGAACTCAGGTCTCCTAGCTCCCTAGTTAATGCTCTTATGTTAATTAGCTCCCCCTTCCACACACTCCCAGCATGGGCCATTAACTCCTAGGAAGCAGAAAACATTGTGCGATGGCCCAAAGGGTCATGCACAAGACCTGTCAGGTATTCAACACAAGTAGCTCATGGAAGATCCGCATATCATCTCATGAAAATGTAAATCTGAAGATTAATAAGTACTAGCCAAAGAAAAGAAATGAGAAAATTCCATGATCCATGGAGGTTATAGCCATTTGGGAATGAGAAAATTGTTCTCCATGTTCTCAAATTAACATTAGGCAGGAATGTTAAAAACTAAACCAAACAAATCTTTACAATCATCTAAGAACACACCCTGAGCTGTGCTAAATTCAAAGGGAAGCAGGAAGCTGACTTAACATCCAGGAGTCACCCCTGAAGATGCAAGCTCAGTGCATAGCATGAGAGCTGCAGCAGACAAGAGCAAAACACTGTCCACCACACTGCCCTGCCATTCTCTGTTCTAGTTAGATGTTCATTCCTGGGAATGTGTTTGCCGTTACATCTAACTAGTAGGATGAGGGTCCTTGCAACTAGCCCCTCGGACTTACAGATTTTCTTATGCATGTGTTTAAATCACAAAAACAAGAACTGAAGTATCAATGTTTCCCCTGTGTCATTTTCTCAGGTAAAAGGACACTTGCTCATGTATTAGGAAAAGTCCAGTGTGAGCGCCAGGTGTTTGAGGAGCACACCTGTGCTAGGCATCTTCCTTGGA